GGACACAGCCCAGCCATCTCCCATTCGGTAGCGAATTGCTGCAGATCTCTGGCCTCTACCACACTGCAGATTTCCGTGTCCCACCAATCGCTGCTCCAAAGATCGACGGTGGACCGCTGCAGGAGGTGATCGCCGCCTACCTTGTCACCGTCGCTTGAAGCCCAACCTTCACAGAACTGCAATCCACAACTTCTCACAGAACTGTAGATCTCCCATAGATCTGCTTGTAGTCTTCACTACCGCATCCTGCTCATCTACTGCTTGGGGTAGCGAACTCTTCCCAACACCAAACAGTGGAGCAACAGCAGCAAAGATGAGGAGGGGCCTCCACTGAGAGAGAAGTGAATTGATGTGAATGTGACCAGCATACGGTACTGAGCTCCCTTACATGGACATTTCTTCTTGATCACTGTCGTCGTTACACCGATAGTTTCAAGGAAGTATAGCTTTCCGCACCTAGTCGCAGCCATCTAATCATTGTAGATTCTATCTTACTTCCTCAAATTGATACATATCCCCGATATATCCTCTTCATCTATATCTAACGCTCTAATTACCGTTTCCGTAAAAAATGACAGTATTTTTTTCTCTGCATACGTTACCTTCAAGTTATTTATAGTAACTACGCATCTTGGTATGCTCAATTTTTTAATCTCCTATTTTGCTATGATCTATTAGGCTACGTCGAGGCTCTTTCCATTATCCACCAACGATGCTCAACATCCCAAGAGAACCCAGTTCAGTAGCAAATCTAGACCACAAACTATGGTTACGCTAAGATCATCTCATCCTTCAAGCAATTCAAGTTTTAGTCACTGGATCCCTTGCCCCACTCATATCTTCATGTGACACTACTACCAAAATCTGGTACAAGCTACAAACCACATTGGCAAATCGATCGCGTACTCGCCTGCTTAGTCTCCTATCAAGTCTCATGCAAGCAAAATAAGAGAGAAGTACTATTGCTGACTATCTATAACATATAAAATTTATCATCAATAACTTAGCAATACGGGCACGTGACTCACCGATATCCTTTGAAGAACTCTATGACAAGTTGATTGACTATAAGATATATCTCAAGCGTGAGGATAAATTGTCATGACCATTCATCATAGCTCAAGTCAGTCAAAAATTAAAGAAGAAGAGCAATCGGTACAACAAACCCATCAACAAAGGTTTGGCCTGCATGCCTCCTGAATTTGTGAGCTCTAAACAAACCTCCCCCCCTCGTTCTCCAGCGCATTGGCGTATCTCATTATATCATCTCTGATCTCCAGAACTTGTCCATCCACAACAACTATGGCGGAAATAAAGACATCATCATCGGTGACGGTAATGAACTTCTCATTATTCATACTAGTTCCACAATGCTTAATTCACATGACGTAACTTTTGCGCTCGATGATGTTTTATGTGCACCCCACATCAAACGGAATCTCATTTCTGTTTCTCAATTCTGCAAACAAAATAATATCACAATTGAATTCTTTCCTAACTCTTTTCTTGTCAAAGATTTGAGCACAGGGACATCCTTGGTCCACGACTAGAATAAGAACAATATTTATGAGTTACCATCAGTTCCACATATCACCTAGCCCACTGCTTTCTCGTCTGTCACAGCTCCAACTAATTTGTGGCATCATCGTCTTGGTCATCTCTCATCCTCTATTCAGCAAAAACTACTTTCTTGTTATTCTCTTCCTACGCTTAAAACCAATAGCAGTATAACTCATTGTGATACTTGTTTTAAGTAATAAAAGTCATAAACTCCCCTTTGGAATATCCTTCATATCCTGCTCTAAACCTTTTTAAGTAATTTATACTTATGTTTGGGGCCTTGCGCCAATCACTTCTTTTGACAAGTTCAGATTTTATGTTATTTTCATAGACTATTTCACCAAATACATATGGTTATACCCTCTCCACCATAAATCAGACATTTCAACAATCTTTACTAACTTTAGAAGATTGGTCGAGAACTTCTTTCAGTCTACAATTAAAACAGTTTACTCCGATGGTGACGGTGAATATCAAGCCCTCACATCCTGCCTCTCTGCTTATAGTATACAATACCTTAAGTCACCTCTATATACTCCTCAACTTGTTGCCTCTGTTGAACGCAAACATCATCATATAGTTGAAACCGGTCTCATACTCCTACATCAAGTTTCCATGCTATCAACTTTTTGGACTACAGCATTTCAAGATGTTGTTTATATTATTAATCGTATGCACACTCCAGTCCTCCAGTATGAGTCACCAATCCTTTCATAAACTGAAAAACTATATCACAAATCCCCAAACCTTTCATAAACTCAAAGTATTCGGTTGTTTATATTATTCATGGCTCCGTCCCTATACCTCACATAAGATAATACCAAAATCTAAGTCTTGCATTTTCATTTGATACTCAATTGAACATAATGTCTTTCGATGCTATGAACCTCAATCTCAAAAAGTCTTTACATCCCGACATGTTATTTTTATAGAGACTATCTTTCCGTTTCAAAGTCCTAAGACTCATGTTGTGCGACCTACTCCAACGAATATACATCACTAGAGTACGTTGTCGATCTTGTCAATCGAGTCTCTCACAACACCATCCAGTTCTTCTCCTCCGGATCCACACACTCTTCTTCTCTCGGTTCAACAGCTCCTCACCCCCTCCATTACTCCTCTCCCTTCTTCACAAGGTTCCCCTTCTATTGACATACTGCCCTCGAAAACCCAACCATTACCTTTATCCTCTCTTGGGACCAATGACACTGATGTCCCTCAGCATGCCCCAACCAATGTCAGTGCCTCTCCACCGCCCATACCTACAACACACCCTATGGCCTCTGGACATCCAATGACAACACGCTCCAAAAGTGATATTTTTAAACCACGACAAGTCCTTGACCTGCATGCTATCACAAAATTCTCGTCAGAGACCATTGAACCTACCACAATTTCTCAAGCCCAAAAATCTTTATACTAACGTAAAGTCATGTGTGAAGAATATGATGCCCTCATCTATAATTCTACATGAACCCTTGTACCCTCTCATCCCATACAAAATATCATCGGGTGTAAGTGGGTCTTTCGAATTAAGTGGAACCCAGATAGATCCATTGTCAGATATAAAACATGTATAGTGACCAAAGGGTTTTACCAATGGCCTGGTATTGACTTTATAGAGTCATTTAGTCTCGTTGTTAAACCCACAATAATCTGACTTATACTGAGTTTGGCCATCTCAAAAAGCTAGTATTTAAGACAACTCGATGTTAACAATACCTTTTTACAAGAAACCCTAACTAATGATGTCTTTATGTAGCAACCTACTAGCTTCATCCACCCTCAGTATCTAAGGCATGCTAGTAAACTACAAAAAGCTATTTATGGACTTTGTCAAGCTCCAAGAGCTTGGTACACCGAACTTGGCTCATTTTTTACATCAACTGCAAGTCTGATACCTCGTTATTTTTCTGTCTCCAAAGTGGTAATAAATATAACTTCTAGTGTATATTGATGATATTATTGTCACAGGCAATAATCCTATGGAAATCAAGGCATTCCTCAAGCATTTAGCATATTGATTCTCCCTTAAAGATTTAGGACCCTTTGTTATTTTTTGAAGTGGAAGCAATATACACGTCTTCAGGACTCTTCCTATCACAAAGAAAGTATATTCAAGATCTATTATCAAAGACGAACATGAAGATGTAAAAGCGGTTACAACTCCTCTATCTACTAGCGAGTCACTCAAATTATGTAATGAAAGCCCTACTATAGATCCAACTCAATATCGACAAGTACTTGGATCCTTACAATATTTATCTCTCACCCGCCTTGATATCTCATTTGCGGTCAATAAATTATCACAATTCATGCATCGATCATCTACTATGCATTGATCTGCAGTTAAAAGAATCTTGCAATATCTTCACGGGACCTTCAATCATGGCCTCTTTTTCTGCAAACACTCTCCCCTTCATCTCTATGCCTTTGTTGATGTTGATTGGGCAGGGAACTTTGATGACAGAACATCCACATCAAGGTATATTATCTTTCTTGGAGCTAATCCAATCAGTTGGAGTTCTAAGAAGCAAAAGACAGTTGCACGATCTACAACTGAAGCTAAATACCATGCTATTACAACCACTACGGCAGAACTCAATTGGGTCACGAATCTACTCAAAGAACTTGACATCACCTCCACCTCTACTCCTACAATATATTATGATAATGTTAGAGCCACTTATCTATGCGTCAATCCAGTATTACACTCACGCATGAAACACATAACCATCGACTTTCACTTCATGCGAGAACAAGTTATCAAACATCAACTACGTATTTCTCACGTACATATGCTGATCAACTCGCAGACTCACTCACGAAGCCTCTTCCCCGCAAACTTCGTCACATCGATCCAAGATCGACATCCTTGACAACAATACCATCTTGTTGGGGCATGATAGCAGCTAAGTTTCCCATGATAGTTGCCGAGATTTTCCTAACTACATGAGGAAATCTTGTTGCTCTGTTAAGAAAAATTCTCTTGTATAAATAGAGAGTACCATATCAAAAACACATATATCTTTCTTCGTTTCATCGTTATTCTTAACAATATTAATAATAAAATATCAAATTTCTACCACTGAGATGTGCTCATAAACGCATTGCACTCAAGTTTAGAGCAATTACAAGTTAATTAACCTTTAAATAGCAATAATAGTAGGCTAGCATTCACAAACTTGTCACTGACCTCAAACCGAATGTTCTTGTAGACGACCTCCTCCACGTTACTCCCGATGGAAGGGCTCGTGTTGACGACCTCTCCCAGGTGCAGCTTGTAGAGCGTCGTCGCTTGGCTGGCATTCTCCAACCCGGCCACCACGATCTTGTACTCGTTGGCGGGGAACAGCAAAAACCAGAACCTCGATGGCAGCGCCCCCATCCTCCCCCCTGCCTATCCAGGAGCAAACCCTACCTAAATTTACGCACCCAAATTAAATAGTTAAGTCCAATAAAAGAAAATTTTGAAACCCTAATCCATGGGATCGAGATCAGGGGATGAACTAACAGATCAAACAAAGGAAAGAAAATACCAGGCTTGTCCGAACGAAGAGGGCAACAGGATCCAACCTGGCGATGGCGAATCGGAGGAGGAATCGAGAGACATGACCCGAGGGTACTCTGATCCTTCCGCGATCAAGAATCGAGAGGGCGCGAGAGACGCGAAACAACCTGGGAAATCTTGGCTTTTCCAAAGCTTTCCTTCATCATCCAGATTCGTTAATACAGAGGAGACGTAGACAGAAGCAAATCCACGTCGGTGCCAGAGCGGCACAACGGCATGGGCCCAGAAACTTCATCAAGGGGGTATCATTTTGGGTCCGAACCGATCAGTGTTAGTAGATGGAGGTGTTCTTGTTACGTTAGTATGCATGGCCTCGACGTAGAAAGCTAAGCGCCTTCATGTCGGCGCCGGCGCGGCACGATCGTGTGGGCGCCGCCAAGTCCTCAATGTCTGAGGCCCATGGGCTTTGTTTTGGGTCAAAACGGTTTGGTGTATGTATGTTAATACTTTGTCAGGGAAACAAAAGTCAAAGCTCGGACAGCTGCAGTTCCTGAACCGTTTACGGAGAAATCACGGCCGCCAAAATGGGACGAGGATCATGATCGGGGTATGATCCGTTCGATTGCGATGCAAGCACGCTGATTTAGAAGAGCCGCTTGCTGCGGGAACGAATGGCGCGGGGCATAGCGTTGGCGAGGTCGCTAATTGTGGCGGAGACGAGGTCCTTAAATATCTGGCGTTCGATTTGGAAGACGGCGTCGGCCACCTCGGCGGCGGGCCGGGCCCAGACGTCTAGGGTTTCCACGAATAGGTCCCTGCGCACGGCCCAGCACGTGACGCTGCTGAGGTCGCCGGCCATTGCCTGCCGCCCCGCCCGTCGTAGCTCAGCCCACACCTCCGGCAGTAGATGGGCGGCGCCGCCGGGAGCGACCGTGGAGAGAGATCCTGGAAGCACGAATGACTCCCAGGGAGGGGGCGACAGGCAGCGTTTCCGGTCGAGGATCTCTGCCACGGCGTCGAACACGAGGAGGCGGCGGAGCCGCGTGTCCTTCGAGCATTCGGGCGATCCGCTGCTGCGCTTCTCGAGCAAGTCGTACGCATCGGTCGTGTCGGCGTGGCTTCCCGTGGCGCGGAGAATCTCCGCCACGTACACGTAGTCGGCATCGTCGACCTCCTCCTCCGGCGCCTCCCGACCGCGTCCGCTGTACGATGCAATGGCGTCGTCTTCGCGCTCGGTCAATTGATCTCCTTGGGAGTTGTCGGAGCGCTTGGAGACCGGAGAGCACGGGGAGCTCTCCTCGCCAAGGAGGGGAGAATTGATGACCGAGACAGGACACGGCTGCTGCTCTGCCGTGGCCGCAACCTGCTCCGTCACAGTGAAAGCTGTGATGCTTTGCAGCAACCGGTCGCACCGCTCCAACAGCTGCCACCCCGCCCTGCAGTCCTCCGGCGATCTCTGCATCATCATAATCGTCCATTCCACATGAGAAGCACGAAATTTGACGACATCGAAGCATGATAAAGATGGAAATGTCAGTGAAGTAATACATCGACGGGCAACGGAGAGTGGGTGGTGCCGGAGGTATCGTCCTCCGCCAGTGAGCGTGTTTTCCGCTTGAAGATGACCTCTTGCTTTGGCCGCTGATTTGGCAGCAGTCGCCCGATAACTGGACTTTGCCCAATTTGATTCGGAGTGATTTTCGTTGGATTCACGGCCGAGATCCGCCTTCGAGGTGACGAACTCTTACCGGACGCCAACGCAATTGAGGACCTCTGCTTCGCCGTCGAGCTCGTAGCCCAGTTCTCCGGTTCATGGCTTCCTGTAGGAGTCCGATCGGCCCTCCGATAGCACCGGACGGGACGAGTTGCTGACTCCACTTTGGGGTTCCGGCGAGTGACACCGGGCCCGGGTGGTAGCGGCGGGCGGGGTCCGCTCGGCGGCCTCTGGGGCGGAGTGGAAGCGGGTTCGATGACGACGTTCCTCGAGTTGTGGGAGCACCTGTAGCGGTCGTCGTGTAGGTGGTCGCTGCGGTCGTTGATCTGGTGATCCGACGGTTTGGAGTGCAGGACCCCCTGCAGCTGGAACGCCTCCAGGATCTGCTTCAGCGTCTTCAAATTCCTCGCCGCCTCGTCCATCCCTCGCATCAGGCGCCGCTTCCCGGATTCAACAGGGAGCGATTCCCACCTCTTCGGCTCCGTGAAGACGCCCGCCGTGTCGAAGAAGCTCTTCCTCTGGAGCGCAGGAAGGAGGGGCCTCCTCGCCTGCGATTTGGATTTCGGGAACGAGCCCCCGTCGAGGAACGGGCAGTCCGCTGGATCACTAACAACACGAGACTCAGAGACGGACCGGAGTAGCTCCGCGCGGCCGGCGGCAGCGACGTCCGGAAGTGCGTCGAGCCCCATTAGCCGTGCGACGACGCTCGGGGACCGGCGCTGCCTCTCCTTCTCCTTGGAAGCATCCGATCTCTCCAACGGCAAGGTGGATCCGGCGGCCTGAATTCACAAACTCACCATTACAACATCCACGAAGAACGCGGCACACAAAAATCACGTCTTTTGGGGAGGTTCGAACCCGGGATGGAGGGAAGCGCTTCCGCGGGAGGATCTGGTGGCTGTCCAAGAGGTGGAGGAAGCCGGCCATGCAACCCATCTGCCGCTCGAATTGCTTCTGGTCAATGAGTCCCCCGCCGCCGCTCGGCGCCATCACCTCCTGTTCGTCCAACGATGCTCCGCCGATCGAAGGTCAGTAGGGAAGCCTTCTTCTCTCTCTCTCTCTCTCTCTTAACGACCCGATCGTGCGGTGAGTCAGAGCATCACCGACCGGGGAGGTGGTGTGGGCGACTGCGCCATGCACGTGGCAGGTCAACTTTCGACCCCCTCGGTCAAAGTGTCGGCGGCTGAGACACGACTTCCCCGTTGGTGGACAAGCGGGCCCCGACAACGTGTTCCAATGATAAAGCGCTCTTCACTGATGGCTTGGCAAAGGCCAAGGTGGGTGTGTGTTTGAATGCACGTGAAAGAGAGAGAGAGAGAGAGAGAGAGAGAGAGGGCAATTGTCTAACAAGAGCTTCTCTAATTTAGAGCTGTCCGACAGCAGGAAGAAACAACCGGTTAGTTCTTAATTGATCCATTGCATAAACTTGAGTCCAACTAGTCTACAAAATGGGGCCCATAATTTTCATCAGGCTCACCGCAAAAATTAATTAGTTTCTACTTGAAAACAAGACGGCATCAACAAGATCCATTGGCCTCACCTTCTCAATTAGTGTGATGTGACAATGCCATAGCTAGGATTTTTATTACCAATAACACAAACTTTCCTTGTTACATATTTGATCTACCTTAAGGCAAGATATATAAAACAAAATATTTGTGGACCAAAAAACCCCAAGGACTTAAAATAAGTTGCATCATGTCCCCTCCCCACATGCAGTCCCCCCCGCATACACAACTAAACTCGAAAGCTATCCTTTTGCTGCAGTAGCTACAGACACATCCAATCTTCGGTAGTGCGTAACATGAATAAAATAGGCTCTAAATCCTAACCAAATTATACCGCTAGAGTCAACCTGATATTTATTTCACCCAAATAAGTAAGAAACCACACAAACAAACAGCTCATAACATTTGTACTGAAAAAGATACTGAGATGTTACGTTATAACAACAATAACATGGTTTAGTTTCTGATTTAAAGAGGCATAAGAATTGATGTTAGGCTATATAACAACAGTCAAATCCCAGTCCTATTATACTAGGACCAGAAAAGCTAGCGCAAACATTCGATCGTTCGATGCTAATAATCAACAGGTTCACTGATTAATAAAGCCACACATAAGCTAGTATCACGAACCACAACAAAACCCTACTTTCATTCCTTGGTGGATTTGTTAATGAGGGATTTGTGGATGTGGGGGATGACACCACCACCAGCAATGGTACCCTTGATAAGGGTGTCAAGCTCCTCATCCCCACGGATAGCCAGCTGAAGGTGACGCGGGGTGATACGCTTCACCTTTAAATCCTTGCTTGCGTTTCCAGCAAGCTCCAACACCTCCGCTGTTAAGTACTCTAGTATGGCAGCAGAATACACTGCCGCTGTGGCCCCAACTCGTCCATTCGCAGAGATTCTGGATTTCAGGTGCCGATGGATTCGCCCAACAGGAAACTACAATATCCACAAACGAATTGACATGAGAAATGAAGACATGCATGAACGACGTTCACGATTCAAGCCTAAGTGCCACATGGAACAAGTTCCTGGTTATGATTCTACATGATCTTTTGTTATGATTCAAGCTCAAATATAATATAGGACAGATCCTGGTTACCAAGAAAGATACTCATAATAATAATAATAAAATTAGAGCCCTATTAACAATAATAGACTGATTGATGCATCATAACCCCATGAGGCCAATCAAGATAACACAATCTCTCACTCACGGCATGGATATTATAACCTCCATTTTAGTATGATCTTTAGGATTCCTGCAAATACTACAAGGTCTGAAGGCATAACGATCACTACATCACTGCCATCATCCATGATGTCTATTTCTAGCATACTCGAGAGTCAATAAGAAAGATAGATCATGTGTGCCCCAACAATCTTAATATCACAATGAATTAGGACTCGTAGTGTCCACTTCAAGGGGAGCCTCGTCCACAAGTAAAAGCCAAAACTCACACTAATGGAGGACTGCTCAAGTATCCAAGTGTCGCGATCTTGATGACAATGTATCCAACCAACCAAAATCTACATAGGCCATACACAACATTATGCAATAAAAATAAATTATAAGAATTACTATTTTCCTGGTTTGGATAATTAAATTAAAAAACATTGTAACAACAAAGAACTATAAATGATGTGACAGAACAATCAAAGATTGTAACAACAAAGAACTATAAATGATGTAACAACAAAGAACTATAAATCACATATCAAACCAACACTGGTCGTGTTCTAACAGCATCAGTAGCAAATCAGCTAAGAATCTACTTTCCCAGTTACTTAGTGAGAGAATGGAAGAATAAACAAGAGAGAAGACCGCTGTCCCTTTCCTTGTTTGGATCAATAGAAGAGAATGAATCACTTAAATTTCTCTGTTAGAAACCCTTTACCAGAGAAACAAAATGAGGATTCCTCAGAAAATTGTGATAAAATGAGAAATATTACCATCTCCATTTCCATTCTCAAGTAATTGTTTCCAAAATGAAAGAATTACGTTCACTTATCACGAATACTCATATTTTCACTCCTACTTGTCTCCATCCACAGGCCCTAATCGTCGAGTAAAAGAACATATGCCAATGTTGTACAACCCCTAATTAGTACCCTCAGTATACGACATATTCCCACAAAAATGAACCAGCAGCAGTAGTTCATACGGTAAAAGACACTCTGGATAAGATACTATGATGTGTTACTTATCAAAATGCTGCTGCCAACGTCAACAGACAAGATCTGGGTTCCCGCTGTTGAATTCACACTACCCTAGAGCACTGGTATTAGAATAGCCATACGACGGTGCCTAAGAACTCAAAAAGAACGCGAAAATCATTGAGATAGTGTTATCTTCCAGTATTACAATCGAAGGCACAAGCCGGCTTCTTCCTGATATAACGCCAGAATGAAGAGGGCGTACCTGCAAACCAGCTCTCGAAGACCGAGAAACCGGCTTCTTCTTGTCCTTATCCTTGTTCGCCGCCGTTGTCTTCGCCGCCAAAAGCCCCTTCCCTCCTTTCCCTGCCATATCCCTGCTCATCAACAAAAAGAAACAAGAGTCAGCCGTAGATCAGAGCAAGAAGGAGCTGAAGAACCCTAAATCCTTCAAAAGAGACCAACTAAACGAGGCGAGAATTCTCCAAATAAACCCTGAATCGGAAGCAGAAGAACACGAGAAAGAGAGAAATGGGCACGACGGAACCGAGATTAGGAAACCCTAAGAGGTGGGAGGCGAGGAAACTAGGAATAAGCAGGGCACCTCCTCTTCGGTCTGATCTGTGGCTCGAGATCGGGCTCGGACAGAGAAGAGAAAGAGTGAGTTGGGGGGCATTACATTTAAAGCGAGCGGGAGATGGGGTTTTTGTGGCTACGATGGCGGTTAGTTTGGGAGGCAAACGGAAATTTCAATTTTTGGATATTTCCGAAACTACCCCTTACTGCGGTGGATAACATTAAATTTCAATTTCAAATTATAGGTGGTAAAGACAAGGTTGAATCTCAATATTACTAGTAATAATCAAATCCCATGACGTCATCAAATAGAATTTTAATTTTTTATTCTTGATAAGACCGTCTAGTGCTTATAAATTTATCGAATAAGGCTTCGAATTAATAATCTTTGGTAAGTGAATCAATCTAGTATATCATCATCATAACAACATTTTATATGTTAGACCGTTGACCTTTTAATAAATAAATTTGATATACTATCATCAATCAATACTTAGCACTTAGATAGATGTTCATCCTTGTTTATGTTCATACTTCAAAAATGAAAATATGCAAATGCTCATTAAAGAGCACATAAATAAATATAGGGCATGATGTTCTTCCCTTCCCTTGTATGATTCATTTGTCAAAGGCATATATGTATTTAAAACATCTTATGTATTATAACAGAGTAAGGCATTCATTTTCTTACACTTGACATGTTCATCTTGGAAAAAAAAACAAACACTTGAGCATTTAATATGTCCTAACCAAATCAAAATGACTCTTCATATACAATGCATCTACCCAAAAGATAAAACATCAAAAAGCATATTATACACCATAACCAACCAAAACATCTTCCTACACAAAATACTTCCTCTCGAGACATAAGCATCGAAGTTTTCGATGTGCTATAACTGATGAAACATCATTTGCTCATCGCATTAAAGTTCCCAATGATTACAAAGGGAAAAGAACATATCTTATACTACGCATCCACAGCATTCTCTAATCTTTTTTTATATGAGCAAAAATCGTTAAGTTTGTAAGGTGAATATTATATTTCAACATAGACAAACATTATCCTAAGATGCACATTATGATGACATCTGTAGTCACTATTCCTTCATTAAGGCACTTAATCTTCTGCAATACCATTATAAGATAAATGTTATAAAAGAAAACTTGTCAACTATGTTCTCTTTAACTCTTAGTACTTGGAACTCATAAGACTTCCTCAAATCTTTTTCGTCTGACATAAAAGCAAATATATTTATTTGAGTTTCAAAAAGGTATTATCGAGTACACCTACGATATAAATATTTCAGAACATACTTGGATAAAGATTAAATGATTGAATTCTTCTCGCTCGAGAGATTACCTTCAACTAAGTGATCTCGGTGGCAGACGTCTACCTTACTCCAGCATCATCCATAGTTGGGCTGCATGCTTAGGCTTCCGTATCTAACTTTACATCAAAACCAAGTCTTTTTTTCTAATTTCAAATACCACAAAATTTAGAAATGGATGTGAGGTCGACTTTATCATATTGAGTTGAGGGCAAAAAGTTTTTAGTACTCATTGATTTAAGTATGTCCTAATCAACTTTAAGTGTGTAGTAACGACGAAGTGATTAAATCAATTTTACTAGTCTCGGTTTCAAGGGTACAATTAAGTTGACTCTTCCGATCCGATATTTTTTGGGTGTCTTATGAATTAAGCAATTTTAATTACATCGGTGGTGTATGATATATCTGATATTTGAATAAGATGTTTATTGGGCTGGAACCTATATCCGGTTCAACAGTGTTCAGCTGTTAAAAAGATGCACGAACTCAAAGGCAAACTCGCTCCAATACCAAACCAGTCCCTTTTCTTCTCGTGTCCTGTTCTTATCCTCTCTCTCTCTCTCTCTATCTCTCTCTTCCCAAAACCATCCCTTTCATCCACCGAAATGGCGGAGATACTTTATCCCTTTAGGTTAAGAAAACGTGAGAATACAACATGAGGCCGATGTGGTACTACCACTGCATGCTCACGCGACACTTCTCAATAACACAGGACAATGACACTTCATGGCCACCTTCCTCTCCATCTCAAAGGAAAGGGATGCCAAACCCTACCCTAATTGCACAAATAGGGCATGTGCCACCCCCATCCCCCACCACTTCTTGTGGCCATGACACCTCCATCTCGACCTCACCCAACGAATCAAATCCCTCATTTCTGGCTCCCGTTATACAGCTTCATCCATCCATCCATCTCCTCCTCGCACGTGATCCATTAGGCCGGTCGGTCGGCGCATCTTCCATGGATAACCTAACTATTAGGCTCATGTCCATCTTGTTCATTCACTTGGCCATGCCCAGAAATGGCAGGCCCTTGAAGGTGTCTTCAGATATGCTCGAGTTGTCTAGGGTCAGTGGTGGTAAAAGGTTGTGCATAGAGAGCAGTCGTCGACTTGTTCACGTGCATGGATCCATGGTGACTGTTAAGATCAAACCACAGTAGCTCAACAAGAGGATTAACTAAGCTTCAACATGTTTATTGTGCTGCAATCATCATATATACTTTGTTCATCAACTAGTACGATATGCGAGAGAGAATGAGTTTAAGCTCATCCGTTTCTTATCGGTACAGATGGAGGATTTGGATGGACTAATCGCCATTGAGAGATGGCATGGACCAGAAGTCGTCCACGGTCCAGAAGTTATCACTGGACTCGGTGGAGAACTCAGAGATCATGCCGTCAGGGTTTGCAGTCTGCTGCTCGTCATGCATGTGGGTGTAAGCACCGGGTTGAGCACCTTCATCGGTGGTGGTGTTGACCTGTGTTGTGCTGGTGCTGGCTTCATCAGTGAGCATCACGTTCTGGACGCCGAATGGCTCGCCGTGCTTCAGCTTCTTCTGTATTCTGGTCCTCCAAAAGTTCTTTATCTCGTTGTCCGTCCTCCCCGGTAGCTGCCTCGCAATTTTCGACCACCTCATGTCCAAAACCATCAAAATATAACAAGTTGCAGATCTCGGATAATTGGATCTCTCTTTTACTTCTGTTCAAAACCTTAAGGTTGCATATTACTTCATCGCATGAATGAATTACTATAAAAAAGGAGACCTATCAGCTTCCACATCATCTATCAGATCAAGTGAGAGAGAGAGAGAGAGAGAGGTATTCCATGCACGTGTTTCATTTCAGAGATCGGAATCGATGATGACTTGGGATTAGGACCACACATCAATGGCCTCGTGCTCATGGAAACCCTACTTGTGGGCTCTCCTGCAAGGGACTGGAGATCCAGTGGGAAGGAGAGAGCACGCTGACCACTCGTATGTTTCCACGGTCTTCTCTAGCTTAGTGTTTATTTAGGTCAGAGCCATTCATGGGTTAACCTTCGTTCTCCATGTCAAAAGGTTGACCTCACCTGTTTCCCCACCTCGCATGGAGCTCCATGATCAGGTGCTGCTCCTCGGGGGTGATGTTGCCCCGCCGTACGTCGGGGCGGAGGTAGTTCAGCCAGCGCAGCCGGCAGCTCTTCCCGGTGCGGTTCAGACCTTGACAGGAAGCCATTAGCGGAGCAAAAAGCCATGCAGGGAGGAGAAGATGGACGCATGATATGTATATATATTATAGATATACGTATAGATATACCTGCAGAACGAGCGACGTTGTTCCACACACCCTCGCCATGGTTGGTGATGTAGTTGATGAGGATGAGGTCTTCCTCCATCGTCCATGGGCCTTTCCTCACTTCAGCCTCCTGGCTGTTGCTTATCCTCTTGTCCATGTTCCCTTCCTCCACCAGGAAGGTGGGAACAAAGAGAAAGAGAGACAGAGAGGGGACGAGACACGGCAATGAGGAGGGAGGAAGTTGTTGTGGGTTTTATAGAGGCTATGAACAGCTTCTACTCCCTGAGAGGTTTATTATCGTCTGTGATGCCTAACTCATAACAAAGAATTAAGCTCCAAAGCTGCTTATCGTTCCCTGTAATCCACTAGAAGTCAACAACGCAAACACCTCTCTCTCTATCTCCATATAGGAAGAAGATTTCTCACGTAATAAAAGTGGAATTAATAGTACATTGAATTCGGTCGTCCAGTTTCTGAGAAATATCTCTCAGTTTGGAGGCTGTCGCAATTGCTGAGCAGATTCCTTGGAGTCGATTACTTTGTGTCGACTGTGAGACGTCGCAGAAGACGTAGGATCAGTTCTCTACGTAGACGAAGTATTGCTGTTCACGTGTGAGGGTCGCTGAGTGAGCCTGCAAACACCTTTTGGTGCTCATAAGCCTCATCAGGTGGATGACAAAAGAACAGCCGCTGCATGCATGATTGGATTGATGCAATGGCTTTCTTTTCTTCTTACTGCTCCATGTCATCAAACAAGGACAGAAATATTTGCATACTACTCTCTAGAACAGCATGCAGCCTTAAGATCTGGAGCACTGTCGAGTGGATTTTCCTATCTGAAGGACTGTACATTTGTACTAAAACATCAATTCATGTCTTATATTTTATGCATATTCACAAACTAATTAAACAGCACAAGAAAATGTCGAAGAAAATTCTATCGATTAGAATTTTCCGAAGTGATAACAGGACTTGGATTCGCAAAGAATTTTTAGTGAGTCATGAAGGTTTAATTTGGTGATAAAAATGCATTAATGTTCATCATCAACAGGACTTTTCTTCAGCAACTTGCAAGGATTGGAATGTGAGTAGGTGAATTCCAAGTTGGATCAGCATATATATATGTAGGAGGGAGGCTGTCACCTACACCTTCTACCTTACTTATTTGGCTTGATCAAACTCAATTCTCAACTATAAAATCATCATGACTAGACTCATCAGTTTCATTTGTAGGTTTGGAAGAATTGATGCAGTACCTAATAAATAGACAAGAGATTAACTCCATATCGACTAAGTAAACTGAAGTTTTTTGAGAAATTGCAAACAATACTTTAGTTTTGATTCAACTCCTTATCTTTTCTGATTCAATGAGTTACAAAACCCTTCAAGAAATTCCTCATTTGGCACAGCAATTAGGTTGGGTAGAAAACTACCCATAGCCTAACCTACTTATCATCCTAATATTGAGGGCTAATTACATATTACCCTCTATATTTAGATCCTATTAATATTACAGTCTTTATGCTTAAAAATTTGTATTGAGATCTCTATAATTTTAAAAGTTAAATAAATAATCCAATTTTCCGTAAAGTCATCAGTTGTATTGATGAAAAATACAACACATGACAAACATATAATTTTAATATCCCTTTTATTTTTAATATGTGAGATGTTAAAATTAACTTTTTTTATCGATATAGTCATTGAAATATAGAAAAAATATCAAAATTATTTTTTTGTCTATCATTTTTACATCGATCCCATGTATTATATTTTTCGTCAATATAGTTAACGACAAATGATATTACTTATTTTATTTTTAAAATTATAGTAATCTCAATATAAATTTTTTATGTATAGGATCTATAACACTAATAGGATTCAAATACAAGGGATAATCTATAATTAACCCTAACATTGATTGAAGCTCTGTCAATAATTAGAAATCCACATATATATATGTACTTAAGAAGGGTTAGTAAAGCTTGTAGAAATATAGAACAATAACTCGGAAATGAGAAATTTGTTAGTCGATAACCTATGTTTGTGATAGACAATCTGTGGACATAAATCATAGACTACACAAAAAGCTTCACAGATTAAGAGGTAACCATCAAAAAAATGTTTGCACATGCGCACATGTGAAGCTATTACTCCATTGAGGGAATATGGACCTCTTTCTTTGGATCGTACTTGATGTCTTCTTTTGTAGCCAATTTAGTTGAGCCACAGGGACATATGGTTCTTTGCATGACAGTGAAGAACGCCTAACACCAATTAATCCGATGTCTTGCTCTGCAAAAGGCACTGTGTTGCGTGGATGCCTGTGATCAACTACATCGAAGCTTTTACAGTAAGTAGGATTCACAGGATGCCTTCAAATGAACACTATTTATGGCTCTCCTACCAGCAGTATTTATGCCTTCAAATCTAATACTATAATGCTCAAACTCCTTGT